TCTTACTTTAGGGTCACACCCTAAATGTGTTTGAATGTGTTAGGGTATATGTTACTTTTGCAGGGGGGGGGGGGGGTTAGGAACAAACAGAGTGCATTTACTCTTGACCAGAAAGGACCCCACATGCCACTATCCCCACCTCCACCCCAACCCTGGACTCAGCCTCCCGGCTGCCAGCAGGAGGACCCCTGAGTGGTGTTCTCAGTAGTTCAGGAAAGGAGACACTTTCACACTTTCACGTGATTATGTGACCTCCTATCATGTGATTACGTGACCATCTTTCACTTAATCCTGACAGGCCTGAGGGGGAAATAGTTAAACCTCTACTTTCTGGAGGGCCAGAGAGGGTGTGTAAATGTTTGGCTAAGGTAACACAGCAAGCCTCTTCTCTCCACATTCCCAAGTCTTCTCCTAAGTGCCCGAATTTGGTGAGGACAGCTCACCAAGCACAGTGACACCTGGGCATCAACTCCATTTTCCTCTCCATCCACACCAGTTGCTAGTGCCCAGGGATTCCCAGCTCCTAAACATCTTTTGAATTGGGATCCTTCTTTCACTCCCTGCCAGCCCCTGTACCAGGGTCTTTTCTTAGAGGTCCAGGTAGCAAATATTTTTGACTTTGCAGCTCAAATTGAAGGATATTATGTAGATAGTTACATCAGTAGCCATTTAAGAACATAAAAACCATTTTAAGAACATAAAAAGCATTCTTACACTTCGACTATATATAAACAGTGACCCCATGGGCCCTAACTTGGTGACCCATGATCTAGATTGTGAATCTTTCTGCCTCTCTCTGTTTCCCCACACTCTAAACAGCAGACACCTGTGCTGCAAGCACAGGGACATTTAACACAGTTTGAACCCTGTCACTCCCTACCAGAAGCCTGTGGGAGGCTCCCCTTTGCCCTAGGGACAAGGAACAAAGGAAGCTGTACTCACACAAAAGGGCCCAGACTCCTTTCCTCAGCTGCCCTCCAGGCCTGGGTCTTGTTTGGTTTCTGGGTTCTGCTCCTGACCTTCCCAGCCTCCTGTAATAATGGGGCCAGGCTGTTGCCATAGGCCTGCATGGTTAGGGTGGGCACAGCCACTCAGACATACTCCTGTCCTCCAAGGTCACCGGAGGCAGGCTAAGCATGAAGTTCCATGTCCCTGGTGACCCCTTGGTCACAGCCCACTTGGCTGTGGACCCCACCGCCCTCTGACTTGACTGGGCTGAGGCCTCCCTCTCTGCTCCCCCCACGCCCTACACCTCCTCCCAGCACTCCCACCTCTCTCCTTCTTCTCTCTGCCTCCTTAGCTTTTCCTCCTCTGGCCAGAGTGGAGCCCAAAACTCTAACCTGCAGCCTGGGGCTTTAGGTATTCATCTCTGCTCATTTGCCTTATGGGGATAAACTACCCACATTAAACATGTTTCACAGCCCTTAGGATGGAGATGCAGATCAATGAGATCAGTTAGAAGAGATAGTAGGGGCAGAGTCCCAGAGGGCCTGCTCTGCAGGGATGAATCCTTCAGGTGTAAAATCTTGAAGAAGTTCTGAGGGAGTGTCTGTGTGTGTGTGTGTGTGTGTGTAATGGCTATTGACCAATGTGTGCACAGTATGTCAGCATCTTAACAGGAGGTAGTACTTGTGCACAGACTGAACCCCCAGTCCTGAAGGTAGCAGAGGAAAGGAAGACTCTCCCACATTCCCAGTCACTCCTTCCCAATCCACAGTCTCAAACTCTCCTTGAAAATGCTCCCTTCAGCACTGGGGTGAGGGAGGGACATGGCACAAACTCCTGTGGGAGGCCAGCCCAGGGCCACCCAGGTCTGCACTGGGCAGAGCCAGAATCTTTCCTCAGCTCACCCGCAATGGCCTAGGAGGCAGCATTGTTACCCATTCTGCAGCCTGCGGAGCAGTTCCCAGCATCACCCAGATGCTCCCTTCACCCTCACCCAGCTTGTAGCAGGGTCTCCTCCCAGGCCAAGGAGGAGCCCACAGCACAGTTCAGGAAAACCCAAGCCTGCCCAAAGCCACAGGTGATCCTCCCTACCCTCAGAGGCTTCCGGCAGACCCAAGACGTCCCTGTGGGCTGGGACTCTCAACACAACAAAGCCTCTCTTGGATCTCAGCACTATCAATGAGCTGTGTGCGCTTCGAATGTGGCTGCTCCACCCCACCCAGGAGCCCACGGGTCCAGCCTTACCCGGCCAGCCTTACCCAGGGCCAAGAAGGAGAAGACCCACTGTAGGACCGCGAAAGTCTGCAGCCTGCGCTCCCAAGGCACCGACAGAGGTGCAAACTCCACCATGCTGTCCTGGCTCCGAGGCTGGGTCTCTGAGCTCAGTTGAGCTTCAGGCTTCCTGAGCCTGTCAGGGAGAGGGCGGTATCCAGCCCAGCCCAGCCCAGCCCAGCCCAGCCCAGCCCAGTGGCAACACCTCCCTGCCCCACCCAGGCAGGGCCTTGTTTCCTAGAAGAAACCTTTGAGTCCTTCCGCTGGGGCCTGGTTAAAAAAAAAGGAGAACAAGAAGGAGCCTTCTGGCACTTAGCAGCCCTTTGGTAACGCCTTATCTGCAGGACCACCTTGCCAGGACTACTTGACTTGCTCTTCCTACCACTTGGCAGATGAAGCCCCCAGCATGATACAGTCCCTTCTGCTCAGTTACCTGGCTGCAGCTCTTGCTTCTTCTCTTGTGTGTCCACTTCTCCCCTCCACAAGTATACTGCAATAGCTCCCATCTAGAAGTCCCCAACTCTACCATCTCCTCCACCTCCTGCCCCACTTCTCTGCTCACTGCACAGCAAAACTCTTAGAAGGGCTTTCTGTGCTCATGCTTTTCCAAGCTCACCTCCCATCTGTCCTCTCTTGCTCCACACTTGTGTGTTTTGTACTTGTGGTACTCCTTTGACAGATGAAAAATCAAAACAGAAGCTCTTTGAGATACTAGGCTTCCAAACAACTCCACTTTCCTGATGGAAATCAATGAATGCTTACTTAATGGAGGTGTTAGTAGTTTTTGTGATATTGATTATCAGTAAATCAAGAGTCGAGAAAACTCACTGCAGTGGGATCTGGGTTACTTGGAGAAGTGCTGCTTCAAACTGTTTTAACAGCTGGGGTTTTAGCTCAGTGGTTCCAGCGCTTGCCTTGCAAGCACAAGGACCCGAGTTCGATCCCCGGTACCAAAACAAACCAAACAAACTGTTTTAACAGTGTCAGAAGCACCTGGCTCAGCAGAAAGCTTCTCCCAAATCACCTGTGTGACATTCCACAAAACTGCCCTTGGTAAGATTGCCAATGGCCTCCTGGTTGCTAAATCCAGGGGTCAATTCTCAGATCTCATCCTGACCTATTAGACATGGTTCATTGTTCCATTTCCCTCGAAACCATTTGGCCCATGGACATACTTTACTGGTTTTTTTCCTAGCTCTTTAGCTGCTCCTTCATGGTCTCCTTTGTGGCTCCTAACCTTAATGGTTGAGCCATCCCATCCCCAGTCCTTGGCCCTTCTTTCTGATCTCCACATTCACTCTCTTTGAGATCTCATCTATGCTCATTACCCCACCTACACAGAGAGGACTTCCAACTATGCATCCAGCTCTGACTTCTTCTTGGGCCTCTAGACTTAACATCTGGATAGCTACTACCTCCATCACAGCATGTTGTAAATTGAACTTGATTTCCTCAACTGCCCACACCAGATCTTCTACTCTTTCTCATCCAGTAAAGGGTAACTCCATTTGCGCAGTTGCTCAGGCCAAATTCAGAGCCACACTATATTCTTTTCATTCCTCTCCATTTATATCTATCAATCACCATATTAGGGTGGTTCTTCTAAATCAATCCTTTTAAATATAAACTTTGATTTGAGGTATATTATTTGTATGAGTTAGCTTTCTGTCACTATAGCAAAATACCTGAGGTAATTAACCTATTCCAGTTCACAATTGATTGACTCCATTGCTTTTGGACTTGTGGCAAGTTAGAACATGATGGTGGGAGCATGCAGCAGAGCAAAATCACTCATCTCATGGCCAGAAAGCAAAAGAAAAAAGAGGAAGGGGATGAGGCTCCACATTCCCCTTCAAGGGCACAATGCCAGTGACTTAAAGACTTCCCTCTGAGCCCTACCTCTTAAAAATTATATCACCTCCCTATACACCATCTTGAGGACCAAGCCTTTAATACCCAGACCTTTTGGAAGACACTTATTGAAATCATAGCACCACATATACAGAAAAATCACAAGTGTAAAGCATCTTGCATTTTCGCAGTGAACACATTCATGTTGTCACCGCTCTGGTCAATGAACAGAACATCACCAGTTCCCCTCACACTGTTGTCAGTCTCAGCTCCTCCCTGTAGTTGACCACCATCCTCATCTGTTTTTAAACTTTATAAAGAGTGAATCATGTAGTATACACTATTTTGAGACTTATTTGGCTCAAGATTATGCTTGAATCTACATCATATGAATCTATAGTGCATTTGTTCTCTTCTCAGTGTAGTATTTCATAATGTGAATATACCACCATTTACCAATTTTACTCAAGAGGCATTTGTGATATTACCTGTTTCTGGCCACTATGAATTATGTGCTATGAGCATTCTTGTACATGTCTTCTGGTACACATTTGTGCACATTTCTGTTGGTTATGTGCCTGGGAGTAGAGTTGCTGGAGGTCATGATACAAAGCTATGCAGTTTTCTAAAGTGGTGGTAACACATTTACCCTTCCTTCAGCCTTATGTGAAAATTCTGATTGTTGCACAGTCTCCTCAACATTGTAACCATTTTACTCCGTGTGTAATGGTACTTCATTATGTTAGAATATTTTTCTAATAATGAATAGGGTTGAGCACATTTTTGGGGGCCATTTTCTGGGAAGTTCTTATTCTAATCTCTTGTTAGTTTAAATATCCCTTGATATTTTCACCTCCACAGCCAGCTCCTTTTATAGACTGACTCTAGTTTGCTTGCTGGTCTCTCTGTCACTCTATTTCTTTTTTCCTTTCCAGAATCTCAACACAGCCAGAGGAACTGCTGGGGTCAAGAGTACATAAATGTTTGAGCTGCCATCGAGCAGCCCAGCGTGGTGATCCCGGCCCCCGGCCCCTCGCGGACCTCCTCCTACGTTGAGTACGCTCCAGCCAGCTGGACCTACGCCCAGTGACAGTAAGCCGCTTCGCCGGCAGCAGCCACCACCTTCGTGGGCTACCGCTACCCGGCCGCCCTGCCGCAGGCCCTGTCGGCTGCCGCCCTCGCGGGCACCACCTTCCTGTAGTATCAGGCGCTACAGCTGCAGCCCGACCAGATACAGTGAGGCCCGGCCCGCCGGGGACCGCGGTGCCACCAGCATTCGGGTCTCCGAAGGCTCGGGGATGCCGCCTGACACCCACCAGGGCGTCCTGCGGGGCTGGGCAACACCCCCGTGCCGTGCGGTGGCTTCTGGGGCGGTCTGAGAAGTGCAGTGACCCTGTGGCAGGTGCCTGCCTGCACTAGGAGCTGGGCGCCCCCTCTTCCAGCCCCCACCCCGCACAGCATCGCCGCAGGCAGCCGTCCCCTCCCTCGAAAGGCTGAGGCTGTTTTCCTGTTGTAATTGTTTTGCTACAAAAATGATTTCAGAATTGGAAAAAAAAAATTATCCAGACTGTTTTCCAGATTGGTCACATCAATCTGCCCTCCCCCTCCCCACTGATGTATGGGAGAGAGACCTCCATGGATCCACATCCTTTCCATAGGTGGCATGGCTTTTGTTGTTGTTGTTGTTGTGTGTGTGTGTAAAATGGTACCTTGTTTTGTGTTTCCTGATCACTAACGTTGTACTCTCTTTATTTATAGTTATTTCCTCTTGTGAAAAGTTTGGCCTTACAAAAAAGTTTGACCCATGTCTTTGTAGTGTTTTTTGAACACATTTGAAGAAGGTTTTCAATGCAGACCTGGTGAGATATCGTAAATCTCTTCTCCTAGCTTTTAGCTTGCCTTTTAAGGTGTTAACTGATGGACAGATATTTAAAATTCTAATGTGGTCATATATCAGGTTTTTATTAGATATTCATTGTTTGATCTGATTTGGGAAAGCTTTTTCTATTTATATTTTCCATTTAAATTTTAAACATTTGCTTTTGATATGCAAGTTCTTAACATTGAATTTTTTTATATAGTAGAAGCTAGATTCTAATTTTATCTTTTAACATATGGATAACCATTTTTGTGAGTTCCATTTGTTGAACATGGCCCCTTTCTTGCCCAATGATATGGTATGCCACTTCTGTCACATAGCAGAGTTCTATACATGCCTGGTCTGGGCTTTATTCTCACCCATTAGTCAATATATCTACCTCTGCACACCACCACACCATCTTAATTATTTAGTTCTAGTATCTGGGAGAGGGGCTGCCTCTTTGCTTTCCTATCTTAGAAGTATCCAGGCTAACAACTGATCATTTACTCTTCCATATATATTTTAGAATTATTTTAATTAATTTCAAAATCTTGCAATGTTGTACTCTCATTGAGTCCACAGCTTCTTTTGAGGACACACACGTGTGAAAAAACTGAGAATGCATTAAATTTATAAATTAAATAAGGAGGAACTGACTTTTGTGTATTGACCATCTACCCTGAGACCTTGCTATTTTTACTTATTAGCTCCAGGAGACTTTTTGTAGATTCTTGGGGGGTTTTCTTCATAGATAACCATGTTACCTGTGAGTCAAGATAGTCTTACTTCTTCCTTCTCAGTCTGTATGGCTTTTATTTCTTTTTCTGTGTTATTAAATTCTTGATTTTAAGAGGAAAGTATCGTTTCTCACCATGGAGCATGAGGTTATCTATAGGTTACTTGTAAATGTAATCTATCAAACTGAGGAAGTTCCCCTCTACACCTAGTTATTCAAGAGTTCTAATTGTGAATGGGTGGTGGGCTTTGGCAAATACTTCTCTGCATGAATAGATACGATTGTATGATTTTTTTTTCTTCTTGAGCCTTTTGATATGGTGAGTTGGTTTTTGAATACAGAACTAAGGTTTAGTTAAATAAGTTTTGGGCCTTCTTATTTCAGAGCTTTCTTTCCCTTTATCACACTCTCCATTCCACAATTATAACTGGTTTCCTTTTTTGAACAGTTCATGAAATCCACAAGCTCAGAAAACTCATGTCCTCAATATGAGAGAATCTAGGCTACAGAAAGATCCAGAAGAGAGGAAGTGAATAAGGAGCAGAAAGAAGAGAAAAGAGCCAGAGGAAGAGCCTGCAAGGCCAGCAGGGAGGAGCAACTCCCTCTGGTGGTCATTCTGGGAAGCTGCGGGCGAGATGTTCTGCTCCCAAGGTGAAGCCGGAGAGGGCGCAAGAGAGGCCTGAGTAACCAACTGGGTGGAGGCCAGCAGTTTAATCACAAAGAGGACTCCTGGGTCTAGTGCTTGTGGTTTTGGTTGGAGAAGGGCTGTCTGTCCCTCTGCAGGCCTTGTGTGGATGGAGGCTCCTGAGCTCTCTAATACTATTATATTGAGCCCCAGCCCAACCTGTGACAGGTGTGCTCTGGAGTGTGGCTCTGTAAGGAAGGAGTTCTGTCATTTCCAGAGGAGGAAACAAATGCAGAGTAATAATGGTTTGTTTGAATGACAACACGTTGACCCCATCCAGGGCCTGGACTTCTCTTTTCACTCACATTCTCACTAGGTGACCTTGATTGTGCCATGGTTTTAAAGTCATCCTCACACAATAACTCCCAAGTCTGTGGCTCCAGATGCCAGAGTGAGCCCTTCACTTGGACATCTCGGAGGCCTCTCTGACTTGACCTGTCCAACATGGACTCTGGGCCCTCTTCCCTCCCCATCCCCATCCCCAAGAGCTCTCTGATCTCCCCCTTACAGAAAATGGCACCATCATCTCCCAAGTGCTAGAGGCGGAAACACAGAGATATTCTAGATTCTTCCTTTATCTGCCCTTCCCCTTCAACCCATCAGCAGGTCCTGTCACTTCTAGTTCTAAAACACAGCTTGAGCTCACCCACTTCTCATCCGTTTCCCCTCTCTGCATCACCATCACCTACAGGGAGCACTACAGGAGCCTCCGTGCAAATGTTCCTACTTCTCTTGTGGGCTTATTCATTCAACAGTCATCACAAGAGCACATACTACTGACACACTTCCCTGTACCACACCTACATGACCACTTCAAAACTCTTCACTGTGGCCCACAAGCACCCACATGACCTGTCTTTCCAGCAGCCTGTCCTGCTGAGCTCCCCCTCTCCTCCACCCATGTTCACTGAGGTTTAGCCACACTGCCTTCCTGTCATCCTTTCAGCTCTTCAAATGCTGTATTTCTTGCCAACAGAGGGCCTTTCCTTGTGTTGTTCCTTCTGCCTGGAATGTTCTTTCTCGGCCTTTGTTTTGCTAACTTTTTCTCCCTGAGGTCTTGGTTTAAATGCTGCCTTCTTGGAATACCCTGCTACTCCCTCTCCCTATACCCTGGATATCTCCTCCATGTCCTTTATGTCTTGAAATCAGTGAATTTGAAACTTATATCTTTTTTTGAGGGGTACTGGGGATCAAACTCAGGACCCTGTGTTTGAGAGGCAGGCACAGTGCCACTGAGCTAAATCCCTGGCCTGTAACTTATGCCTTTTACAGGGGGTGGTACACTCCTTTGGGGCAGCAGAAAGGACTATTTACCTCACATGTCTACATTCACCTAGCACCTGGAAGAGGTGTTTATTGAATAGGGAACATGGAGCTAAGGCTGTCTCTCACCACCTGTAGCCTTTCTAAGAGCTGAAGGACATGTTTAGTCTCCAGGGTTTCTTTTCATCAGGCTAAGCCCCCTGTGCAGTAGTGTCTGTGTAGTAGTGTCCAGATTGTTTTCTGTGTACATCATGATCTCAGAAAGGCTCCACCATGAATTAAGTTTAGAGAGTCAGAGTACACAGCATGGTAAAGGCTCTGAGAGGCCTGCTATAAAGAGCCCATTTAGTGTTGCTCAAATTGGCTGTTCCCAGCCTTCTTTGCCTAATTATTGGGAAGAAATTGAATGGGCTCAGGAGCTGTGGCCAGCTTCTGCCCAGGGACTGCTGTGGAGGCAGTGGGTGGGGGTAGGGGGTGCACTGGAGCCTGGGCCTTGGGCCAGACAGGGTCCTGCGGCTGTGTGGCTCTCCATGGCTGGTGCTGATGAACATGCTGGGCACCTATGGTAGGCTAAATAAAGTGCCCCCAATGATGTTCACATCTTAATCCCAGAAACTGGGCACTATACTTTTTATGGCAAGAGGGATTTTACAGGTGTGACTAAGTTAAAAAATTTAATTACCTGGGATTGGCATCTGTCGTCTGGATATGCTCAATGGAATCATGGTGATCCTTGTAAGAGGGATCAGAGGGTCAGAGCTGCAGGACAAGGTTATGTGATGATGGAAGCAGAGATTGGAGTGATGGACTTTGAAATGTGGAGGAAGAGCTCACAGGCCAAGGAACACAGGCAGCTGCTAGAAACTCAAAAGACAAGAGAAGAGATCCTCCCTGCAGAGCAGCCTTTCCGATTATGTAACTTTAGACTGATTTCCAGATTTCTGGCCTCCAGAACTATAAGAGAATAATTCCATGTTTTAAGCCTTTTGGGTTGTGATGATTTGTTAAGCAGCTGCAGGAAATGAATACAGCACCTAACAGGGCTTCACTATGGCTTGGTTCTAAAGGGTTTTTTCTCTCTCTCCCTGACAGCCATGGCAAAATCCCTAGCCCATGAGACTGTGCTCCAGGAGCCAGCCTGTCCTGTCTGCTCAGAGCAACCCTTCCCCACGTGGATCCTGGCCCACTTTCAAGAACCAGGTCAAACACCACTTCCTTCAGGACGCTTGCCATGACCCTGCCAGGCAGAAAGGGATACCCATAGCACTCAAAGTAGGGAACTCTTTCCACTCTAGGTTCCTGTCTCACTCCCCACAAACCTGGGAACATCTGCAGAGGTTTTTTTGCTGTTTTTGCAGTGCTGGAATAGAACCTAGGGCCTCACACATGCTGGGCGATCACTTTACCACTGAGCTGCACCCCCAGCCCTCCCCCCCCAGGGTTTTGCAAATGGAATAAATAGTGTATATGTGAAAGCCCAAGGCGATAAAGGGCTGTGCCTCAGGAGCCTCCAGTGAAATAAGTGTGTGCTTTCTTGGCCCTGGGGCTCTCATCTGTACATTCACCTTTGACCCACCTTGTGGTGCTAAGATGTCACTTTGCATCCTGGACAGTTTCCTTTGGATGCCCCCAAGCCCTTCAAGCCTTCTGTCCCTAAGTGACAACATCTCCAAGCACCTACTGCTCATGCATTCATTGTCTGTGGCTGGCACCATCACTCCACAATTCTGGGATTACCCAAGCCCTTCCTTCTTCTTCATCCCAACATTTTGTTCCTTAGAAGGTCTGAGCATTTCTACCTGAGACACATCTCCCATATCATCTTGGAGGCAGTAAACAAGACAGGCAAGATCTTGGGAGAACTCTAAGAATTTTGCAGGCAATACTGGGGTAGAAGGTGGGGTAACAAGAAATAAGCAAGTAAAAAATGAGCAAGATAATTCCAGAGCAGAATGAGTGATACATTAGGGAAGTAGAGTGATGAAAGAGAACTAAGAATCCTCACATTAGGAAAGATGGGTAGAAAGGTTTGTTTGAAGATGTATTGTTAAGTAAGACCCAGAGGATGAGCACGAGCTGGTCAAGTAAAGAGCTGAAAGAACAGCAGAGCAGCCAGCAAGTGCAAAGGCTCTGGGCTGTGAAGAACCTGCTGTATTGCATTTACAGAAAGGCAGCAGTACAACTACAGGGCAGTGAAGAGGGAGAGACTGTAGGAGAGGAGGTTGCTCACAGACCTGAGCAAGGTCATGCAGGGTCTTGAAGGTCATGTAAAGAGTCTAGGTTTTGGTCTGGGGATTTAGCTCAGTGGTTTCACCGCCTGCTGCGCAAGCATGAGGACCCAAGTTCCATCCCCAGTACCAAACAAACAAACAAACAAACAGAGTCTAGGTTTTATTCTAGGAGCAATAGAAAGGTACTGAAGTGTCTTAAACATGATATGAATGGCTTGATCTCTCTGACAGTTAGGCAAGAAGCCCCAGATTCACAGGTGAGTTGAGTCAAGTGACTAGGAAAGGAATAAGTCCAACTCCATTTGCAGTGGCATAGAGCACAGAAAAGGAAAACATCCAAACGCTTTTTGTGAAGTCATCAAAACATTAGTGGTCACTCTGCAAAAAGGTGCAACAAAAAAAGAAAAGAATGGATTAAGCTTATTTATGAATATTAATATCAAGAAATTCTTACCATTTTAGTAAACCACATTTTAAAAATATCAAATTAGTATTCTACCAAAAAGGCAAGAATGGCTTAATATGAATAACCACTATTATAATTAAATATGTTGACAAATCAAAGTTTAAAAGATACAATCATCTTTAAAAAGACTGAAAAAGCACTTTATAAATTTATGATCTGTCCTTGATTTTTACGCTTTCTTAGTCAAATAAAAGTGGATGGATAGTCTCTAAATATTTTATGGCAAAAGTCAGCATCATGCTTAATGGTGAGTTACTAGAAACATTCTCATAAAAGTCAGAAACAATTCTAGAGATAAAGTAAAAGCAATTGGATAAGAGAAAGAAATAAGGGGTATAAAAATGAGAAAAGAGGAAAAATTGTCATTTATGTAAACAATAAATTCAAGATAATCTATGGCCTATTAAAACTAGAGAGTTTAGTGTGGTTGCTGAAATGAGATTAGTATATGCAAAAAAATCAACAGTTATGTTGTCTATAATTACAATTTAAAATGATGAATGTGCTAGGTATGGCGGCACATTCTTGTAACTCAGTTGCTTAGGAGGCTAAGGCAGGAGGATCACAAGTTCAAGATCAGCCTAGGCAACTTAGGTAGACCCTATCTCAAAATAAATAAATAAATAAATAAATAGGCTTAGGATACAGCTCAGTGGGAGAGTGCCTGCCCAGCATACCCAAGGTGAGGCCCTGGGGTCAATTCCCCAGTACTGAAATTTAAAAATATATGGATATGATTTTCTAAATATGTCATTTCAAAGAAGCATTGAAAAGCTGTTCAGTATTGCTAGACACTAGGGACATGCAAATTGAAACCATGATAAGTGCTATACTTTGATCTTGAATATCACTCAAAGGCCCATGTGTTGAAGGCTTCGTCTCAGCCCATAACACTACTGGGAAATGGTGGAACCTTTAGGAGGTAAGACATAACGGAAGGAAGTTAGGTAATTGCAGGTACAGCCTTAAAGAGACTCCAGCTCCTCTTCCTTTCTCATTTTTTCCCAACAGCCATGAGGAAAAGAGGCCTCCTCTGCCATGTGCTTCTGCCATGTTGTGTAGCCCATCACAGCCCCAAAGGCAAGGGTGCCAAGAAATCAGACTGAAGCCTCTAAAACCATGAGCCTAAATGAATCTTTCCTTATTATAAGTTGATTATCTCAGATATTTTGTCACAGGGACAAAAAGCTGACTAATACAGTAAGATATCACTGAACACCTGTTAGAATGGCTAAAATAAAGAGCACTGAGGTTACCAAATGCTAGCAAGGACATAGAACAATTAAATCTCTCATCCATTGCTAGCAAGAATGCAAAATAACACAGCCACTCTGGAAATCAGTCTGGCAACTTCTTAAAAAGTTAGACATAATATACAAGACCGCAATTGTACTCTCTGAGCATTAAACTGAGAAATGAAAACATGTTCAGAGAAAAACTTGTACATGAATAGAGGTATAACGCCTTCATATCCCCAAATGTCCTTCCATAGGTGAATGTCCTAACCATATCTGGACATATCAGCATAGATAAATCTCAAATTCCTATTGATGAGTGAAAGAGGCACATTGTAAGAGCTTCTCTTTTTTTGTACCAGGGATCGAACTTAGGAACTTGCGCTTGTGAGGCAGGTGGTGGAAAAAAACATGCTTAATACAAGTTTGTATATATTTAAGAAAAGTACAAAAACTTGCACTTAGACCATCTTCCAGATAGTGGAAAAACTGGAGGAAGAAACACAGGGAGTGGGTTCAGTTTGGAATTTAAAATCTATCTGTGTCATTTTATTTAAGGGAGCTACAGAACTATCATCAAGGAACTCCCAACTGAGAAAATCTGGAGCAATATGATTACTTTTTTATCAAAGTAAAAGTGAGAGTAATGGATTAAACCCATTAATAAATACAAATTCATTAACCTATATTGGCATAAACAAAGATATCAGCTAGCAAATGTTGAAAGAACAATGGAGTTAGAAAACATTATTTGACAAACACAATTGTTAAAATTATGTCAAGTGAGAGCCATCTATTATTGTTAAACTAGTAGATGAAAGTTTAATGAGTCATAGGAGGCTGTAGAATCTCAAGGTATCTGTCTTTAGTATCATATCTGGATATTATAATAAATGAAAAAATTTGGAATATTTAGCTAAAGATCTGGGATCTTAAGTTGTTTTAAAATATATTTTTAAAATGCTGTCATATGGTAGTCTCAAGGAAAGCTAAACGTTGTAAGAATTCTTATGTTGGTGCAGAAAAAGGAAGAACTTTATCCTGTGTCTTAGATTGGGCTACTGCAACAGAATACTACACACATTTATTTCTCTCAGTTCTGGAACCTCAGAAGTCCAAGGTCACGATGCTGGCAGACCCAGTGCTTCCTGGCTTGCAGATGCCATCATCTTCTCATTGCATAGTCGCATGGCGGAGGAAGAGAGCTCCAGTCTCTTTCTCTTCTTGTAAGGACACTGGTCCCATCATGCAGGCTCCACCCTCATGACCTCATCTGTACCTCCCCCAAAGCCCCACTTCCTAATACCTTAAGGATTTTTAACATGTGACTTTTGAGGGACACAAACACGCAGTCCACACAGTCTGCAACAACAACCAACCAAGAAACATACATATATTCTAGGATTCCCAGATTCTAGGATGCTTAGCATTCATTGATTCTAGGACTTGAGGCAGTATCATCCATAACATTCTATTACTCAGATTGTAGGACTTCTAATAAATATTCTATGGTTATAGGATTCAATCATTCTTTTATTCTAATTTCAGGACTCAAAGAAGCCATCATTCTGTTATAATTCTGTTGTAATTTCTGTGGTCAGCCCAGCCATAGCAGAAGCACTGAGGTACTGTATTTGCTGCTAATCTTCATAGAATTTTATAACTGAAAAGCCAAATCCATTAAACCCTAACTTGTGTCTGGAATCCACTTTTCCCTGGTTGTATTCATAGGAATAGAGGGAAGGCTCTTGAAATTTTACTATGTAGTGCTCTCTTCATGATAAGGATTTTTTGGCAGATATCCTGTGACATATTAGGGAAGTTCTAGTTTGCCAAGAGGTATTAAAAAATTGATTATTGATTGTCAACTTCAACAATGTCTTTTGAAATATGCCTACCTGAGATTATTTCATTTTAATCTGTTGTGTGTGGTATTGTATCTATAGGTTTTCTGTTATTAAGCCAGTATTTCCTCTTGGTATAACACTGCTGAATATTGATAATTATATTCATGTAACACTCTAGATTATGTTTGCTGCTCTTTTATTTAGGATTTTTATGTTCATGATTGACTTATGGTTTTTCTTTCACATATTATATTAGTTGTTTTCACACAGCTATTATGTCAACTTCCTAGAGTGAGATAGAAATTCTTCCCCCTTTTCTGTCCTATGGAATAATTTATATAACAAAGATGCTCTATTCCATGAAAGTTTTGCGGGATTCACCTATAAAGTCAAATGGATCAGGTGTTTGATTTTATCTTGCTTTATGGTCATTTTTGAGTAGATTTAAATTACTGGTTCAATTTATTGAACTACTGAGATTTCCTATTCTTTCTAAAATTGATTTTAGTAAAATATTTTCGTGTAAAACTTCTCTATTTCTGGTAGGTATACTAATAACCTATTGCTGCATTAAAGTTTGCCCCTAAATCAATAAAATGATAACAATTTATTTTGTGGGCATCAACAAACTGATCCTGAAGGTATAAGAAGAGGCAAAGGAGCAGAACAGCTAACATGATGTGGAAGGGGAAGAACAAAGATGGGGGGCTGATTACCCAACTTTAAGACTCTCTATGGCTACCCTAAACAATACAATGTCATGCTGGCAAAAGAACAGATAAATGGAACAGAACAGAAAGCCCAGAATTAGAGCCACATAAACATATTCAATTAACCTTTGGCAAAGGACCAAAGGACAATGGAGCCAAGATAATCTTTTCAACGAGTATGGGAGCAATTCACAAGCAAAAACAATTCATCTTGACACAAACCTTAAGCCCTTTACAATGAATTCAAAATGGAAGCATAGCCCTCACTGTAAACGTAAAACTATAAAACTCTTAGAACTAGGAGAAATTGTAGGTGACCTTGTCTATGTCAATGGCATTTTAGATATAACACCAAAGGCACAATCTGTGAAAGAAAGAATTGAAAAGTTGAACTTCATTAGAACTAAACATTTCTGATCTTCAAAAGATATGAAGCCAATTCACAAACTAGGAAGAGATATTTGTAAAAGACATACCTAATAAAGAACTGTGATTGAAAACCTACAAAGAACTCTTAAAATGCAACAATAAGAAAATGAATGCAAACAGACACCTCACCAAAGAAAATGTAATCAGACAAATAGGCATATAAAATATGCTCAACATTATATGTCATTAAGGACTTGCAAATTAAAACAATGAGATACCACTATAAGAATGGTAAAAATTCCAAACCCTGACAACACTAAATGCCTGAAAGAATGTGGGGCAATGAGAACTCACATTTGTTGGCAGTGAGAACCAAAATGGTATAGCCACTATGGAAGACAATTTGGCAGTTTCTTACAAAACTAAGCATATTCTTACGGTATGATCTAGCAATTGTGCTGTGTGCCAGAAAGTTAACCTTGTTAACATGACTGGATTAAGAGAGTCCCCTGATGTTCAAAGCTGTTAGAAGGTGGAGGAGGTTGGTCATCAGGGTGTGCCTTTGGAGGGTAAGAAGCAGACCACGGACTGAAACCTTGGAAACCATGAGCCAAATAAATGTTTTCTCATTTCAGTTGTGGGTGTCAGGTATTTGGCTCTGGCAATGGTAAAATTCACCCATATATGCTCTTTGGTAGTTACCCAAAGGAATTAAAAACTTATATCCATATAAACACTTGTGCCCAGATGTTCTTACAGCTTAATTCATAATTACTGAAATTTGGAAGCAACTGAAATGTTTTCCATAGGACAGTAGGTAAATAAACTGTGGTACATCCAGGTAAAGGAATGTTGTATGACACTGAAAAGAAATGAGCTATCAAGTCATAAAAAGACATGAGCAAAACTTAAATGCATATTACTAAGTGGAACGCCAATCTGAAATGCATACCTTTGATTCCACTACATTCTGGAAGAGGAATAGTTACGGTAAAACATTGTCTGCAAAATGATCAGTGGTTGCCTGGGGTTGGGGAGAGAAAGGAAAGAATAGGTAGAGCCCAAAGGGTTTTTAGGACAATGCTACTACTCTGCATAGTATTGTAATGGTGGATATAAGTCATTATACATTTGTCCAAACCCATCCCATCGAACATACAACACCAAGAGTGAACCCAGGCCCGGGGATTTAGCTTAGGGACCAAGGATTTAGCTCAGTGGTTCTGCTGCAAGCGCAAGGTCCTGAGTTCGATCCCCTGTACCAAAAAAAAAAAAAAAAAGTGAACCCAATGTAAACTATGGACTTGGAGTGATAGTAATGTGTCATTGTAGGCTTATCAGTCATAACCAATAGACCACTGTAGTGCTTAATTTTTGATAGTGGAAGAGGCTGTGCATGTGTGGGAGCAGCGGGTATTTGGGAATTCTCTGTACTTTTCTGCTGAATTTTTGCTATGAACCTGAAACTGCTCTAAAATGTAGTCTATAAATAAATAAAATCTTAAAAATTTAAAACTACCCCAAAACTTAGCACTTTAACAGTAAACATTAACTTCACATGGTTTTTGTGGGTCAAGAATTCAGAAATGGGGGTTGGGGATTTAGCTCAGTGATTCCACTGCCTGCCTCACAAGGGCAAGGACCAGAGTTCGATCCCTGGTACCAAAAGAAAAAAAAAAAGAATTCAGAAATGGGGACCAGAGATTTAGCTCAGTGGCACTGTGCCTGCCTCACAAATGTAAGGTTCTGAGTTCAGTCCCTGGTACTGGAAAAAAAAAATTTAAAAGAATTCAGAAATGTCAAAATAGCATGTTTCTGGCTCAAGGACTCACATGAGTTTGCAATCAAGATGTGGCCAGGACTGCAGTCATTTGAGGGTTTGACTGGGCCTACAGGATCCACTTTCAATTTTGTTCACTCTCGCTGTTGATAGCAGGAGGCCTCAGTTTCTCACCAAGTGGCTGGATCTCTCCATGGACTTACAATGGAGAGGAAAATCCTTCGAATAGGGTGGCAGTTCCCCTATCCCCCACACCGAGTGATCTAAGAGTGAGAAGAGCTCACAATAGCTTTTCCAACCTAGTTCTGAAAGCCACGCACCATCATTTTTTGTCATCCTATTGGTTTCACAGGTCAGCTACACTCAGTGTAAGAGAGGATCACACAGGGCTGGGGATTAAGCTCAGTGGCACCTCACCTGCCTCACAAGCCCAAGGTCCTGAGTTTGATCCCCAGTACCAAAAAAAAAAAAGAAAAAAAAAAGGAGAGAGAGAGGGTCACACAATGCTGTGAACACCAAGATAGTGGGTTTTCTTAGAGACTGGCTACCATGCAAGGATTCTCAAATTTATCAACAGAAAATAATTCTTATTATTTGTCAATGATTCTTTAAATCTCTGCTATGTCATCCCCCTTTATAATACCAACATTATTGATGTATTTTTGTTTTCAGTTTTTAAAATTTTGTGTCTCAAAATGTATTTGTTAGAAGTTTATTTATTCTAGGGAAGAAGATTTTAGAGGTTTTTTTGGCAGTCTTTTTTTGGTACTGGGGATCGAACTCAGGTCCTTCCGCTTGCGCAGCAGGCAGCAAAACCACTGAGCTAAATCCCCGGCCTTGACAGTCTTTAATGTATTTAATCCCCTTGTTATTTTCTTTAATTTTTCCCCTATAATTTTCTTTGGGCTTTCTCTATACTATTTCTAACTTTTTTTTTTTTTTGGTACCAGGGATCGAACTCAGGTCCTTGCACTTGCGAAGCAGGTGGCGAAACCCCTGAGCTAAATCCCTAGCCCTATTTCTAACTTCTTGAGTCGAATCACTAGAGTACTTTTAATCTTTGTTTCTAAAGGAAATGTTTAGACTATAAATTTCCCTGTTAACATTGTATATAGCTACATCTCACAAAATTTGATATGCAATGCTTCTATTTTCTTTTAGCTCTAAATATTTTATAATATCCACTATAGTTCCTTTTTAAACCCATGAATTCATTTCAAAGTATTTTTCTTTGTTTTATTTCTAAGTATGTGTAGACTTGTGATTATCTTTTGTTATTAATTTCTAATATCATTGTATTGTCATGAATGTTATTTGTATAAGCGTTTTGTTCTTGTTTATATTAGTTTTGTGATCTAGTATATAGTTAAGTTTTTATATATTCTGTGTAAGTTTAAAGAAAGTATGTATTCTCTAATTGTTAGATACAGGGTCCATTAGATTAATGGTTTCAATCTTCTATATCCCTAAGAATATTTTATGTTTATTGGTTTTCTATTCTGAGAGAAGCAATGTATTTAAAACATTTTTATAACATTTAAACATTTTTTGGTACCAGGGATCAAACTTGTTTATTGGATACTTGAATGTATTTTTTAAAATGTCTATGATGATGTTGATGATGGGTGTGATGATACAGAGATGGATCTGTGCATTTCTTATTGTCTATATCGTTAGATGCAAACTACATTATATATTTCTGGTGAATTGCTTCTTCTACTTTTATATGATGGCCCTCTTTATCTAAAAATACTTTTAAAGATCAATTTTATCTAACATTAATATAGTGGCACCAGCTTTCTCTGGTTACTGGCATCTTTTCAAATCACTTTTTTTTCAATATTTATGCGTTGGAATTTTTTTTCAATTTTTGTTTTTAGGGGGTTATTTCATGGGGTTTTAAATACAGTATGTTTCTTGAAAATAATGCATTGTTGCACTTTGTTTTGTGTTTTTCTTCAATCTGAGATTCTCTTTTAACTAGACAGATTTGATCATTTACGTATATCCCAACCACTAAAATTTTATAAATAGCTTTATCATCTTATTTTGTATGTGCTATTGGTCAGGCTTTTTCTTTGTTTATTTTTGGTCTTAAGTAGTTTTCTATAAGCTTGTTTTTAAATATTATATTTATATAAAAATATATAACATAATGTGTATATATGTTTATAGTTACACATTAAGTTTTCCCTTTTAATTTTTCAATGTGAATTTTTAGACTCGTAAACATTTTGAGGTAATATTTCTACTCACCTCACAAACAATAAGGCCTTTAGACTACCTTAACTCTGATCACTCCCATCTTAGCATGATATTATTTTCTAGTATTTTACTTCAACGTGTTTTTCATATACCTCCAATTTGTTCAGGCACAGCCAGATCCACATGCTCAAATTCAAAAGTACTAAAACAGAGATTCCAGACTGTGGGTTCAAACAAGAGAGATCTATATTTCTTTTCTCATCACAGTTTAGAAGTAAATATGTAGTACACTCCTGCCAGGCAGCTCTGCCCCATGCGGTTGGTCATCATCCAGGACAGCTGACTTCTATTTTATTTTTCTACTTCCCCTTCCCAGGGTTAAACCCTGGCACCAGAGTGTTCTTAACTACCACATTGTATTCATAGGAATTATTATTAATTTTTTTTAGGTACCAGGGATCGAACTCGGGACCTTGTGCTTTCGAGGTAGGCGCCGGAACCACTGAGCTAAATCCCTGGCCCCATAGGAATTATTTTAACCACCTAAATGATAATTCCTCTACTATGTCCACTTTCTACCCTATAAGAAAGAAAACAAAGTTGAACACAGCAACTTACTTTAAGGAAGTGACCTAGAAGTGTATGTAATTGTTCTTTGCTGCAAGGGAGGTTGGGAAATGTAGTTTCTGGCTGACTGACCAAAAGTCCTGCTAAAATTGCATGGTGGGTTATTGGGAAGGAAGGGGATAATGTGCTTTGGGGTGCAGACATCACCAGAATCCAGTATCTTTTCCTGATAGTCTGTGTTTGCTTCAGTTTAGGTAGCATCCCCACAGAGACTGCAAAAATGGTCACTCACTAACAAAAATAATACCATAGCCACTAACAACAATAACCTCATGGTCTCTTATTTTAGTAATTTCAGTAAAGAAGAGCGAGACAGAGAGTGAGAGAGAGAGAGAGAGAGAGAGAGAGAGAGAGAGGAAACATGGCCTTTAGGCTGGTTCCAGCCAGTCTTCGATTTCTTCTAACTAGTCTTATGTGTATCATATGCTTATTAATAAACTAGTCACTTTTGCCAGGGAGATGCAGTCCTCTGGTAAACAGATGTGAATCATCTGTTCAGCCCTGAAAGGTGAGTGAGGTAAGGTTAACCCCAACCAAACCATGTGGCCTAAAAGGAGGACAGGAGAAGTTCTCAAAAGTCAAGTAATGAAGTATGTAATCTTACAACCAGAATAGATCTGAACAGGCCACATAACAGACAACATGAAACTTGTCTGTTCTATAGACCCATTTATACAACCGACTGTTTAAAAAACCCAAGTGAATAAATACAGAAGGTGATGATGAAAGAGTTGCCTGCTACACTTTTACTTATACTTCTGCTCATTTGTTATTCATTCAGCAGCTGTGTTCACCTCTGTTAGACTAACAATACTGTTTGCTAACTGTTTACTTTGTGTCTCTCTCCTAGTCCTCCTGTAACATACACCTCCAACTGAGGGCTTCTCTAAATCTAGAATCTATTTGTCCTGCAGTGAGTTGGCATCAGGAGACTAAACTTACAAATGAACAAAAGGTTAAAGTCTCAATGACTCTCAGAATAGACATCCCCCTCCAATTTTTAGTATCATTTTTACATTTGGAAATCATTATTGGGTTGGGCATGGTGATACATTCCTATAATCCCAACTACTAGGAAAACCAAGGTAGGAGGATCAGCTGAAGCCTTGAACTTCGGCTCATGAGTTCAAGACCACCCTATGCAACAGAATGAGCCTTGTATAAAAGAAATCATTATTGAAAAGAAATCAGCCAAATCTAGGGATTTCTGCAGTGTTGGGGGAAGGAAGTGTCAGACCAGATTGTGTGGCTTATAGAAATGTATCTCCTAACGACTGCAAAACAGTGCCAGGCACCATTTTATTTATGGAATTCAAATCAAATCACCAAGAGGCAAAGACCCAAGTAGAAGGAAGTTCAGCAGATAATTGACTAATGAGAGCTGTCTTCTCATATTGTTTGATTCTAAGGTTAAAAGAGGAGGCTGTGTTTTGCAATCAGTTGCTAATCTAAACACATACATGACATTCTCCCTCAGAAACACCAAAGCCTCAGCTTACCTAATGCTGAAAATTCTATCTATATTGAAAGGGAAAGGAGTTAAAGTCTTGGTGATGTGGTTAGGGATAAGAAGATGAGGACAATACAGGACACAAATGGAGAGATAAGAGGTCTGCTAGAGAAGGTGTCTGAGAAGCTTGCTTGGGAAGCTCCACCTGTGAGTCGTCTTGTGGGCCTTTTGAATACAGATGGCCACCATTTATTGACTACATGCTGGTTGCTACATGTGGGATGTTGTAGTAAGCACTTTTCGTGCATTATCTCATGTTAGTTTTCAGAACAACCTGGCAATTCAAAATTAATATCCTCATTCATAGATGAAAGTAAAGGTCAGAAAATTGCAATCATTTGCCCATGGCCATATAGCAAGGCCTAAGACAGGATTTGGATCCCTGTGGATTTGATTTGACTCAAAGCTTCTGGGCTAGGGATTTAGCTCAGTGGTTCCACCACCTGCCTCGCAAGCGCAAGGTCCTGAGTTCGATCCTTGGTACCAAAAAATAAGCTTGCGCTCTGAGTCCTTAAATCCCTCACAAACCACTTTCAGGCAGCTCCTATTTCCTCCACTCTACAGGTGAGGAAACTGAGGCCCAGGGGTGACCCAACTTACAAAGATAGTGTCACAGCCAAACCAGGTCCATCAGATTGCAAAATCTATTCTCCCCCCAAGTTAGAGGAGTGGGGCAAGAACTTCCATGAAGCCCTGTAATGAGGCTCTACTCTTTCCTATGGAACTATCCCCCATCCACCTCTGGACCACTTAGACCCCTTTCCAAAATCTTCTTTTCACACCCCCACCCCAGTGAGGCCTCTCGGCTGAAGGGCCAGGTAGCTCTTGGGAGGGACTAAGACAACCTTCCCCACCCATCCCCTAGGTAAGGAGGGGCCTGGACGCCACCAGCCCTGGCGCTCCCAGTCCCCCACATCTGAGCAAGGTCTGTAGAGAAGACAGACTGGCAAGGACCTGGATCAAGAACCAGCCACTCTGGGTTCAAGTACAGTCTGGTGACTGACCAATAACAGCAGTTCCCTTTTTAAAGAATCTATTCTGGGACAGACATTCCACTAGGGGTTTCTTTCGTCATTTTAAAAAATTTACTATCTTTCTCCTCCACTATTGGCCCTATTTTATAAAAGAGAGCCTCAGGATCCTGGAGGTAAAGCAACCAAAGCAATGACAAGTTGGCAGGAGGTTAGGACTTGAACCCGTGAAGGTCCCAGATCTGCGGTTGCCGGGGTGAGAAGAGGGAGGAGCCGAGGAAGGAGGGGACAGAGAGAGGGCACGCTCCCAACAGCGCGCGCTGACGACAGCAGGTGATTTTTTTCTGCAGCTCGCTTTCTCTCAGCATCTTTCCTGGATTTTTCCTCCTCCCTTGCTGAGCGGCAGAAAAGGGTGGGGCCGCCTCTCTGCAGCAGAGGCGGCGGCGACAGCGGCTGCAGCGTCGTCGCCTGCCGAGGCCGAGGCAGCAGAGCTCGGTCTCCGCTGGAGGTGACGGCCTCAAGCCCTGCTAGGTAGACGGCTGCACCCGAACAGCGGCAGGAAGGAGAATCGAGCCAGGTCCTCGGACCCCGCAGCCACACGGCCCTGCCCTTCCTCTGCGCCATGGCTTAACCCCGCGGCCACCTCGCCTCGCCTCGCTCTGCAGGGGTCTACAGGCGCCACAGCGCAGGGAGGGGCGCGTCCCAGATGCCCTAGCCAGGGACTCCCGGACGCCGTTCCTCTCGCCCTTCGTCGCCCGCAGCAGCTGCGCTCCCGAACGCGTTTGCAACCGGTAATCCAGGGACTTCAGACTGTCTCAGCGTGAGCTTCCCCCGGGTGTGCTCGGAGGGAGGAGGACGAGGTAGCAGGCGGATCGGGAGAGAAAGCGGTGGGGACCGCACTGGCGGGTGGGGACCAGGGGCAGAAGCAAGACTAAAAACCTGCTTTAGAACTACATAGAGAGGGGGCCAGCTTTGCGTCCAGCATCATGGCGTGGCCGTGCATTACGCGGGCCTGCTGCATCGCCCGCTTCTGGAACCAGCTGGACAAGGCGGACATCGCCGTGCCGCTGGTATTCACCAAGTATTCGGAGGCCACCGAGCACCCGGGCGCCCCACCGCAGCCCCCACCGTCGTCCCAGCAGCAGGCGCAGCCGGCGCTCGCGGCCCCCTCGGCGCGCGCGGTCGCCATAGAGACACAGCCGGCCCAGGGCGAGTTGGATGCAGTTGCCCGGGCAACAGGGCCGGCGCCGGGGCCCAGCGGCGAGCGGGAGGTTGCGGCCGCCGGCCGGAGCGCGCCGGGCCTGGGCCCCGGCTCCAGCTCCACCTCCACCTCCGGGGCCGGCCCCGCGGACTCGGTGATGCGGCAGGACTACCGCGCGTGGAAGGTACAGCGGCCCGAGCCCAGCTGCCGGCCGCGCAGCGAGTACCAGCCGTCGGACGCGCCCTTCGAGCGTGAGACCCAGTACCAGAAGGACTTCCGCGCATGGCCGCTGCCGCGCCGCGGGGACCACCCCTGGATCCCCAAGCCCGTACAGATCCCTGCGCCTTCTCAGGCTTCCGCGCCTATTTTCGGGACGCCCAAGCGCCGGCCTCAGAGCCAGGAGCGCTGGCCGGTGCAGATCGCTGCTGAGGCCCCAGAGCCCGAGGCTCCCGGAGAAACCGGTGTCCTGGCTGCAGGGAAGACCTCGGGTGCAGAGGAGCGCGACACCCGTAGAAAGGCCAGCCCGGCCTGGATGGTGCGTCGCTCCGAGGGTCACGAGCAGACGCCACTGCCCGCCACCCAGGCCCAGGCGGGAGCCGGTGGCCCGGCGGCTGGAAGGGCAACGAGTGCAGAGGAGCGCGACAGTCGTAGAAAGGCCGGACCGGCCTGGATGGTGCGTCGCTCCGAGGGTCACGAGCAGACGCCACTGCCCGCCACCCAGGCCCAGGCCGCGGAGGGTGGCAAGGGGCGTGCGGCGGCGGACGCCCTCAACCGGCAAATCCGCGAGGAAGTGACGAGTGCAGTGAGCAGCTCCTACAGGTGAGAGGCGGCACCAGGACTGTTCCAGGGCTCATTCTCGCCTCGCAGGCCTCACACCTAGCCTCCCCTCCGTCCCAGACCACGCCCTCTCCATAGCGGCATCCCAGGCCCCCTCCAGCCACACAGACTTAGCTTCCTGCCTGTCCTGTGTAGAAGAGTTAGGAATATGCATTCAAGCAATCCTTGCTCTTTCTCTTTACTTCTTTAGCCATCTTTCCCCCACCCCTACCCACCCAATAGAGATCCTATCCAGTTTTTCACAGCTGGACAGTGATTTCTCCAGCACCACCTAGTTCACCTGCTGCGTTGGGCTGGATGCCTCAGCTGTCCCCCATTCACCTTGTTGCATTCCCACAGGGTCCTCATCATTCTAGGAGAATTCTTTCCAAGTGAGCTCTCCCCCTAGCTCACTTCATGGGGCCCTGCACTCTTTCTCTGCCTCAGTCCCTGGGCGACATTCAAGCACCACACCCTTTTCTAGATTCCCCACAGGCCCTTACAAGTCACCCTCCTCTTCTACCACTTGGACTTTGAAGTCATTTTCCTCCTGCTTCTTACTAGCTCTGACACATTGGACAAATTTCTTAACCTTTCTAGGCTTCAGGTTCTTACCTGTAAGATGTAAATGATAATAAATATCTCTTAAGATTGTTCATTCATTTACTGATTTCAAATTAACTTTTCAATATAATTTGAATACCTATTGTAGGGCAAGTAGATATTGTAAGGATTAAGGGAAATTATTCAGGAGGACTCTTCATGCCTAGCACACAGGTGTAATATGTTTTGTTTTCCATTCTGACCTTCTACATGATGCTTCATAATTCTGATTTCCATTTAAATGCCTCCAGCCTTTTCCCCCATTGAGGCATCTCCTCACTCCTCTGTGCCCTTAATGTTTTCCAGATGTATTTCTTACTCTCCATCTTTTGCACCTTCAAATGGCTTGTAAATGAATGCCTTCAATCATGGAAACACCCCACCACCACCACACACACACTTTCTAGAATTATCCCTCTACTGCAACCTCAGTCCTTCCAGTATGCTTTCTCACCCTTCATCCATCCAATATACATATATATACATATATGTGTGTATATATATATATGTATGTATATATGTGTGTATATATATGTGTGTATATATATATATCTGAGTGTTTAGCTTTCAATCTAACATCATATTCAGTTGGGTCTGAATATACCACACTGGGCTTGGGGTCTCTGAGGAAGCAGATGTGCATGAGGAGTAATTGAACTAGAGATGTTCAAAATGTGCCTTATGGAGTCCGTCATCAATGCCACAGCCACTTAGTTGCCTACTTCCTGCACAAGGGTGTGGTGGAGAGGACTGCAGAGTTAGTGTCATTTGCCAAGACCCTATGTGTAGCCTTATGTCCCTCATGATGTCCTCCAAGAATATGACAAACATTCCTTCATACGCTGAGAAGACTAGCATATGTAGATATCTTCTTTTGTTAAAACAGAATCTGACTCTCTAGTCACTGCCCCAGCATTTCCTGTATTCCTAAATCCCACCTCCTACTTGCTGTCTCTCTTGGTTTATTGCCATTGCAACCTCACTGGTCTCCCAGCAATACATTGCTTCTTTTTTAAGCATTGGGTCAAGCAAGACACATATCTTTTTTCTTGGATAGCCACAAGGAGATGGAATTTTCACAATGTTTTCATGCAGCTACCAAGGGGGGATCTAAAGAAAAAGAAATGAAGCAAACAAACAAGAACCATAAAAAACAAAACCAAGATGTAGTTTTACAGTTCTTCTATGGCTTTCTTGTTAACAAGGTCCTACTTCATCTTCCAAGAACATTAAGGCTGACCCAACACCACTGATTCCTGGCCTGGTGACTCCATCTTCTTACACGTATTCTACCTGTAGCAGGTGGAACCTTGCCACCAACTGGGCAGATGCTACCCTTTCTCTCCTCCATAGATAGTGCCAATCAAGAGAGAGCCCAGATTCTCAAACCTTCTTGAGTGATCCTACTCAGTTTATCAGTTTATGTTTCTAAACTGGCAGGACTTGCTTTGTTTGTGAATGACTGGCTAGTCAGGGAATGGCCACACCTATCAGATACAATTTGCACCAAATTTTGCTTTGTGCCTTTGTTCTGTATAGCCTTTTCCCCTGCAACAAACCTAAACTATCCAAGAAGCATGTCATGATGCACAAACTACACACATACTGGAAATGATTAGACTGAGTAGGGGAATACTATGCTCTAACAGCTGGTGAGAATGGCTCTTTTTATAGCAGCGATCAGAATTCTATCAACTCATCAAGAAAAATCTTTGAACACTTCAAAAAAATTTAAAATCAGGTCTTCTGTAAAAATTAATTATACATATGACTTTGGAGCCATCAGTGTCATTTTGTTGTATAATCAGATGAATTTTGAAACATTAAGATAATGAATGTTGCTAAGAGACATCAATTTCTTTAATGAACAATTTGAATGCATAACAAATTTGATGTGAAATTTAACATGAATATTTGTTCCAGAAGAAACATTAATCAATGATAGGGAAATGTACTTTGGATGAAAGTAGATGTAAAAACCGAGATATTCAATGAATTAAATATACTGTAGAGAAAAATGCTTGGAAATTATAGCCTTATCTGGAACATTGATTTATCTTCTTTATTGTTTCATGTCCTTTTCTTTGTCATGATTCTGGACTTCTCCTGAATTTAAGTGTGCCTCATTTCCACTATAGATGGTCTTACATCCCTGTAGAAACCAAACAATGCTCTATTTCAATGATAATTTGATTTATAAAACCATTTCTTTTGCCACTCTACATAAATCATGGTGTGTTTACACCATGGTGACTGGTTCCTCTCATGGGCTTTACAAGTGACATCTGCCACAAGATACCAATGTGAGCAATTTGCTGTAATAAAGGATACATAATTCATCAGCTTAATATATTGGTGTATAATGTAAAATATACATTCAATATTCAGAATCATGTATATACTAATATATGCTTGATAACTAACAATAGAAATCCTTCAGCACTATAGTATTAAGAAATCTTCCATATTCAATTTATCTGATTCATAACCTATTCTTGCCAGGATTTCTGCATTCAAGTGGTATCTGAGGTATTTTTAGAATTAATCACGATTACGAGGTTGATTAATTTTTAATGCACTCATTTTACATAGATGATATAAAATTGAGAAGCATGTCTTTATTACCATTTTTAATATAAAGGATAGATTTCACTGGGAAGCCGTTTGTGACTTTAGACCTGGCTTTCTGTGTTAGAAAATGGATGTCATAAGGAGGGGATTAAAATTCCCCTCCCAGTCGACCCCATTGCCCTGCCATCAGTTAATAGGAATAAATGGGGTAGCAGGTGCTCCCTATAGAAATGCTAATGAGAAATTCTTCCTAGAAGAAAACAGTGGAGCACTGGGAGGTAGAATTAATAATCCAGACCCAAAATATTTGAAAAATGAGAGCAATAACAAGGAAGTCAGAAAGAAAAGGAGGCTGTAATGTCTGCCCTACAGCAGCCTTGCATGAAGGTTAGAGAAAGACCCATCTGACTTAGGTTATGCTGTGTGGAATTGTCCTGTAACCCCAACTGCCCATTTCCCGAATTTCCTCCTGCCTAAATCCAGCCAAACTCAAGGCCAACTCAGGCCCTGAATCTTCAGCGATGCCTTTTTAACTCCTGCCATTCAGAATTAATTTCTTTCTATTCCCATTTAACTATCTGAACTCTTGTCACTGTCTGCTTCATTGTCAAGTACAATTTGTCCCTATCTGCCTCCCTCCCACATCATGAACATTTGAATAGAGGGCTGTATTTTGTCCATTTCTGTACCTTTCACAGCCTAACATTGTGCCTCAGTGTCATATAGATTTGTTGATCCAATGGAATTTTTAGGTCTTGGTAAAAATTTTATTCACTTACATATTAATTCATTTCCTTTAGTTGAACTTATTTCAGAAAATGACCACCCAACCCCTGCTTTGTACCAGCCAGGGTGCTGAGGATGCCAAATGAATAATGTATAATCCTATGTAAGGAAGCTGTGTCTTGTTTAACCAGGATAAAGTTTGAATTGTACTGGGTTAACCAGAGGGAAATGTTTAAATAGTGAGGGCGACTGGAGGTGTGCCTTGACTTAGGGCAGCTGGCCTCAGCCTCGCCTGCACATTGGAATTGCTGGAGACTTTTTCAAACGCTGATGAATAGATGCCTGGCCCAGAAACTCTGAAGCAGTCAGTCTGGGTGTGGTCTGGGCATCTGAATGTTCTAAAGCTTTTTCAGGTGATTATAATAGGCAACCCAGGTTATGACCTACATGCCTTCCATAAGGCAAGGTGATAAAAATTCAGTCTGCACAAGAATCACCTGGAGAACTTTTCAAGGTTCAGTTTCCAGGGCTATATCCTCAGACATGCTGATTGAGTAGATTTGTGGAGGCTAAGCATCTATTTTTAACAAAACACTCTAGAGAGATGGCTAGACTTCAAGCTTTTCTTGGTAAAATATTAGTTGGAGAGATGTGCCTATATACAAACATAGTAAATTTGCTTTTTATTCAGTCATTCATGTTCTTTGCATACTGTTTATTTTGTAGTTTTCTCCATAAAAATCATTTTTATATATTTTTAAGTTTTATTTTTATTTTTTGGTACCGGGCATTGACCTTGGGACTTTTTGCTTGCAAGGCAGGTAGCAGAACCACTGAGCTAAATCCCTGGCCCAAGTTTTATTTTTATAGTTAAGTCTTTAATAATTTAACTTGTTTTTATCTTTGTAGAATGTGATAGGAATCAAAATTTTTCCCACCATATGAAAAGTCATTCATCCCATGTCCTTTTAAAAAGTTTGCCTTTTCCCTACTAATCTGGGATATCTCTTCTATCACAAATGGGCCACAAATGCTTGAATATTATTTCTGAGCTCTTTTTCTGTTCCATTAGTTTGCTCTAATGCCACATTATCTTTTTTTCT